ATTAACCTTCAGAAACGAAATTGCGAACAAAATCGCTACCAAGTTACAGGGGAGCAAAACTTCAAAATTTGTTGCTTTGCCAGCTCGACGAGCAAAACCAAATTAAAAAATGCAGAGTGGGGATGCTTCCTTGCAGTGGTATGTCGTTATAAGTGTTGTTCCACCAAACAACACTTACATGCATTTGGACAATTTTCATCCCCAGGTGCATTCGGACCACTCCAACATTTTGAATACATCAGGTCAAGCAAGTGTCAAAATCTGCCCTGGAATGTTGTGAAGTGGAGCGAGGCCCTATGACTGCTAACTTGCACAACGTTCAGGTCAGGTTGTTTCATTTTTATTTAAGTTAAAAAAAAAAAAAATTATGTCCATCATTTCTTGGTATTTAAAGAAATAAAAAGCAAATAAACTTGTACAACACTTTCCTTCACCCAACAAAAAAAAAAGTTTCATGTAGAGTATGCAAGTGTATTGGAACCATGAATGAGATCACTGCAAGATCCAAAGGCAAACACATCACATCGAAATAGAACAGGGTGAGATCAAAGTTGTTAAAAAGATTACCATCTCATGTAAATATATGTTTTTTTTTTTTCGGTCTTTGCGTAAAGAGAAAATTAGTTTAGTGGTCTGTGGCTTAGTGGTTAAGGCACCGGTTATCAATGCACATTGTGGTCTAGGATTCTGCCTTCAACACTCTGCACCTTTGCACAAAGACACTGACACACATAACACATAGTCACCTGCATACCTCCTTGGGCTACCGGTGTGGGGAGAAATGGGAGGAGGGGATCATACAGGCGCAAATGTTACGAAACTTTAAGCGCATTTAACGACTAATTACGCTTCTCACGTATGGACAAACATATAGAGACAGAGTCACAAACAAATAAATAGAAAAATTGACAGAGACATAAAAACAAAACATTGTTTCTTGACTCTCGGTCGGTGAGAGACAATGAAATGTGTGATCCTAAAGAAGGACATGACATTCATCACCCCTAATAATTCTCTAAAACGCAATATTGGCTCAAAGAGCAGCATAAGGAGAAGTGTACATATAGCGCATGGGTTCTGAACGAGAATAACAAAAACAATAAGCGGGATTTCGTACAAGCAAGGAACATGCAGAAAAAAATGTACGTAATTTCGCAAATAGAAGTTGATCACATACGGAATGAAAGCAATAATGTTTAGATAACAATTGCATCATGACCAAAAAATAGGACATGAGAGGAAAACATGTAGTGAATAGACGCAAGTCAAAAAAATATCAGACGACCGTGAAATTTATGATACCCAAATCGCCTAATAAAAAAAAAGTTAAACCCTTACAAGATATTTTTATGATGTACGACAAAAAAAAAACATTGTAACAATTTCAATTTCGCTCACATTCAACGGTCATGTGTAGAGCATTGCTAGAACAAACAAAAATATATAATGCACATGCATGACCATGAAAACAATGAAGTCATGTTTACGCAATAAAAACACTAAAATGCAGGTCATAGAAGGATAACGTGTGGTGAATGGATGCAATATAGAGAAGAAACATACTTAAATTATGTTTTTGTTTCCCATTTCACATAAAAAAATGTCTTCTCCGACCGTGATAGAATGCCCTTATGACGTAAGAGTGAAATGCGATCCATTGAGCGTCCACGCCGTGTTTGAGGGGAAAACAAAAACGATCATGTACATGACGTATCGTGTTGGAAGATATTATATAGAGCACATGTAATCACCTGTCGAAGATAACATGCCTTGCAAATATTGGAGTTTCTATTGGGATTGCATAAACGTTCGAAAGTGATGATTAGTTGTTCATGACTAATAAATGTAGTTAATCAACTAACATTTTCGTTTTAAATATAAGTGTTTGACGAACGCTCAAGGTATTGTGTTCGATGACCACATACTCTGTTACGTGGAATTAATACACAAGGAAAAAAAAATATTACGAGCCTACTAAGCAATCTAATACGTTGAGCTTTGCGAGAGGGAGAGAGAGAGGAAGGAGGGGGGGGGGGCGCTGAGACGGTCAACTTGAATGTTACCCTATGTGGAATACTTAAAAAATTAATAAGTCGTCAATCATAACTAATAATGTAGAATCAGACTGTATACATTACAAAATTTTATGTGGTCGGAAGGTGCCTATATTTTTTTTTTCAGTAGGAATGTTATTGGGCTGAAAGTATGTGGACCAACTGACTAATATAAGAATGTTAAAGTCAGTAAGAGAAAATGAGTGGAGGGATGGTAAGGTGGATGGGGACGAGAAAGTGATACATACGGGTATGTCTAGGGAAGTGTTAGAGGACGAAGGCTAAAATATTTAAATTAACTTTCGAACTTTGTATGATTCACGTGATTTGTAAAAAAACACACTTATGTCATTTAGTTTAAGTTCACGAACAATGTGCGACCAATCATTACCATATATTATAACTACACTCTGTGTTCAACAAAATTTCAAAGGTCAGTAGGTGCCTATGGTGTGAGCCGGAAGGAATGTGGTTATGCAAAAATATTACGCGCCTACCGACCACAAGAGCAATGTCGAAATCAGTGTGATTGTGGAAAAAATCCAAA